CCGTGTGCACAGTATCAATGTGTCTCGTGCCACTTCCCACTCTGCTCCTGGTTTATCACCACCTGCAAGCTGCCGAGTAGGGAGCTCTTGGGAGTTCCTTTGCCCATCCATCACATTGGGACCGAGCAGAAGGGGCCAGGGTGGGGAAATGTTCCCAAACCCGACTGACATTCCATTGCTGATAGCGCTGGAGGCTCCCCCTGTGCAGGAGCCTCCCATCAAAGAGACAAAATTAACCACTGCTGGACACTTGTGAAGACGAATCATTACGAATCCGTCAGAAATCGTGTGTGTAAATAATCTATATCTAAATACTCGGCTAGGATTTGGAGAATTATGGGATATCCCACGTTTAGGAAGGTGCTCCCCTGAGCCACCTTCGTGCCCCTGAGTTGAGATTAAGATGACCAATGTAGCTCTGCCATCATTCTTATAGCATGTCTTCAGCATTTGAGCTTTTCTTTTTTGGGGGGGGGGGGTGGGAGGGGTGTTGATTCTTGTATTATACTTTTGGATGCTGTTGCTGTCATCTGTGCCTATAGCAATATTTCCAGTTGACCAAATATTCTAATCTCTTTATTATGCAAAAGAAATAGTTTTAAGTACCTTTTTTTATAGAATGGTAAGATGGTATAAACGTACTCTAAATTTACTCCTTTGTGCTATTACCCTCTATACTGTACTTTTCCTTTCTCTTTTGGTTTTGTTCTTTTTTTTTGTTGTTGGTAATTGAAATCTGTAGGGCAGGAATTTATAGTTGCAGGCTGAGGTCATGACTGAGGATGAGGAACGTACCGAGATCAGTGAAACACCAGAAGCAAAAAGCAGACTTGGGGAAGCAAAGCGGTCGAGGTTGACAGGCACAAAGAGCTTGTGCATTAAAGACGCAGGTGAAGGTTTTACCTTTTTAACCTCCAAGCCCAGATCTAAGTTATAGGAAGGGAATTTATTAAAAGTAGATTGCAGCAGATTGGTTTCTTTTTCTCCCCCCCCAAAGAAAACCCATGTATTGTTTGTTTTTCCTGGCTTATGCCTCTTTTCCCGGGCCATTCTGCCTTCTCTTTAGTGTGATCCGATGTTGCCTTACATTTTCCCTCTAACCTGCAACCTGTTCGGATGCAAAATAACACAAATCTTGTACTTTTTTTCAGGGTTTGTTTTTGGTTTTTTTTCCTTTTTTTTCCTGCAAATTGTGGACCAAAGTTTGTTTTTTAATTGTCTTAGTGTGTTGCAAGTCAGGATTTCCTGGCTTAGTGTGGGAGCTCTTGACTTGCCTGGCACTGAGTGTTTGGAAAAGTCTTAACTTCCCGTAGCTCCTCCCTGAGCTCTCAAGGATGTGAATTGTACTGGAGAAGCGCGTGAGGTCTGAGTGTGAGGGTTCAGCTTGGGCTGCTGACAGGGAGCATTGCCCCACTTGAGCCGGTGCCACCGGGTTTGGTTACCCCGAAAGCTGGGCAAAAGCCTCTTGTTGAAGCTCCTCACCTCCTTGCCAGCACCTCAACGTTCAGGAGGGCAAACCCAGGCGTCTGGTGGTGGGTGACAAACCCATTCCCCTGCAGCCCTGGGGCCAGGCTTGGATCTGAAATGTGTTTGAGAAGCCTCTCTCCCAGGACATTGGGAAGAGGCTGCTTGGAATGAGGATGCCCCAGGGGGATGCTTTGACCGCTGCTTCGGTCACCCCATGGGCTGGAACCAAGTGCAGACAAACGGAGGTGACCCACGACCAGGCGCCCGTGGGTCTTTTCCTTTGGATCCCTGTGTTTGCATGTAAAGAATGTGAGTAACAAAAGGGTGTACATATTTATACTTTTTTTATACCTGTTGTAAGACATGAGGGGGCAGCAAAACCCGGTTTTTTTTATGGTGAAACAGATGTATTGTATATTTTGATAACAGCGATTCCAGGTTCAGTATTGTGGAAGGCGGGGTGGGGAGGGGAAGCGTTAGCACACCATCAGAATTCCATTGCCTCTTTCAACGAATGTTTGTAATGCAAAAAGAAATGAAATTAAAACTATTTTATAACAACCTTTGTACCTTTCTGTAGCTCCATTATTTACTGTTCAGATTGTAGAAAGCAGTTGTTGGCCAGTCTGTACTTGTGCTTTCAATAAATTTCTTCTGTATTCTTTGCTTCTGATTTCCCTCTCTCTTTATTGTGCCTGTTTTGCTTCTGATTTTTCCCTCCTCACGTAATTCCAGCTTGGTTTATGTTACTGGGATCCTCCCCATGTGCATCCATGGGGAGCGAGCGGTGGCCATGCCCGGAAGGGCACTGGGATGCATGTCCCATCCTGACCAGCCGTGGAGCGGAGCTGGGACCTGGCACTCTGCCCTTTTTTACTTCACATTCCTAAACTTTCCCTATGTTCTAGCTACTACCCATGGAATAACCCCACTTCCCAGTCAAATACTCTCTAGTGCTTTAGATGTGTTGGAGCTTTCTGGCTGGAGAGCCTGCGGCCAGCAGGAGCGACATTCCCTGCTGTCTCCTGCAGGATTATTTCGGTTCTTGGACCTTTTTGCCACGGAGCAGACTTGGGCTCTTTCCTGTTTAAAGCTCCTTCCCAACAGTCAGCCCTTAGGATGTGGTTGGATGTCATGGAGCAGGCTTTACTTTGAGGGGAGGTGGTGGGAGCAGGAGGATGCCCAGGGGCAGGGGGAAAGGTGGATGGATGGATGGATCCATCAGGGGGAAAGAGCTGATGCTTCCATGGCTCTGTCCTTTATTCTCCATCAGTGTGGAGCATGGAGCAGCTCCTCTGGGAGCCCCTCCGAGCAGGACCTGGCCCTTCCTATGGGAGTGAGCTGCTCCTGCACCCCGGAACCATGCGGTTGGTGATGGTTGTTACAACCTCAAGTGGTTGAACCCTAAAGCAGCACCAGCATCCACTGCTCCTGCTGCCGGCTTGGGGCTCCAGCAGCTCCCTGAGGATGCTTTTGCTTCCCATGCCCATCCCTGTCCCTCTCGCACAGTAAGGAATGGCTCATTAGCTCCCTGATGCAGGAATTGCGGCCTCCCAGCGCTGCAAATATTGATCGCGATGGGGCTGCGTTGCCATGGAAACACGGCAGCTGCCGGCGAGGATGGAACCACAGGAACACCCGGAGTGGCCCTGATGGGGTCAGTGTGGCCCCGGGATGGGATGGGATGGGATGGGATGGTCTCTGCCACTGTTCCTATGGGATGGGGTAGGGGATGGGGGCTGTGAGACTCCCCCTTACCCCAACCCAGGGCCAGCGCTGACCTTGGGTGTGTGACCAGGACACTGTGACAGCGGATGGGGCTCCTCAATGGGAGACCCGGATGGTTCCCAGCCTTGGGAGGATGGGGATGGAGGAGGATGCGGATGGAGAAGGATGGGGATGGAGGAGGATGCGGATGGAGGAGGATGGGGATGCTCCTGTTCCCCCAATGGGGCCCCAAGCATCGCTGTTGGGGGTGCTGCTGCCCGGTGGGGGGACACACACACGACTCAGTGCTGCGGGAGCCGTGCGGGGCTGGCAGTTGCCATGGAAACCGCTGGGTCAGAGGCAGCGGGAAGCGGCGATGGAGCCATCGCTCCCCGCAATGAGCCGCGAGAGCGGCGCCGGGGGCTGTTGGGACCCCCCCTTCCCTCCCACCCGGCCTCGGCCACCGGCTCCGCTTCATCCCCCCCAGGGGTCACCCGCGGCCCTTGTGCTGCTGCCGAATGGTGCTGACCCCCCCCTTCACACCGCATCCCCCCAACCCATTCCCTGGGCAGGCGCTGCCCCCAGCGCAGCCCCTGATCCTCCCGTTAATCCCGGGGTGGCTTTTCCAGCACCGAGCCTGGTTTATGCTGCATAATCCATATGTTTGCAAGGCGGAGGCTTTGGGATATCCACCGTTAATCCAATTGGCGCTGCCCGTTTGGTACCATGGGCCCAGCGCCGGGTGTTGTGGGGGGGGACACCACGGGCGCTCCATGCGGTGCCGGATGCTGCGGTGCCGGATCCCGCGTTGTCACGGCAACGCGATGGGAAACCGCAGCGGTTTGACCCGGAGGGGGGGGGGGGCTCGATTGATGGGGTACCCCCTCCCCTCCCCAGCTCCCTGCGGTGCAATGGGGACCCGCAGCCCCTTCCTCGCCTCGTCGCGCTCATGGTCAATGGGTTGAGGAGCCTGTGGGGGGGTTTAACCCGGCGCGGGGATGGGGGGAGAAGGATCCATTTGGAGCATGGGGGACCCCAGGCGGCCGCATCTCCTTGGGAACTGGGGGCTCACGGGGTGTGTTAGGAGCATCCTTTCCCCCCACCACCCAAGCAGCTCCCCCATGGTGAAGGAGCCCAAGGGGGGGAACATCCACGTGTTTATTTGCTTTCCAAACCACGGCCGTTCCAGCCATCACCCAGCAAATGCGTTCACAGCCTCCAATCCCCCCCTGCATCCCAGCCCAGGGCTGCTGCTGCTGCTCCTGGGGTCAGAGCTCAGCCCCGGCTCCCCCTGCACCCACCCTCTCCATCAGCCCATGCACTATTTACAGTCTCCGTGTGCCCAGAGCCCCTGCCCTGGGCACCCCCAGTCCCCTTCGTCCCTCCCCATCACTGCCCAGTGGCGCAGGATGTGGGGCTGCAGGACCCCCAGCATCCACAAACCAGTCCCCGCTGCCCCACAGCAGCCCCAAACCCCTCCATCCAGCCCCCCCAAAAGCCCTTCAGCACCATTTGCTCCCTCCCACCCCCCAGGAATACTCTTCCAGAGCTCGAATAAGTGATGACCCCCTCCAAAACATCAGCACCATGTTAGAGAGAAGAAATAAGTCCAAAGTGCTTGGAGATGCCCAACCATGGAGGGGGGGGCAGAGCCCTCTGAGCCTCCCCAGCGCCCTGGTGGGAGCAGGGTCCCATATGGGGACTCCCGCACATCCCGGCTGGCTCAGGGACCGGTGTGACCGTGCTCGGCTGCATCCTTGCGCTGCTCCATCACCCCAATGCCACAGAGACCCCATCCTCATCCCCCCCACACCAAGAAGGGGGGACCCCTGGGGAAGGCACCGGGGAGGAGGAGGAGGAGGGGGCTCAGTCCTTAAACCTGCGCCCGGCTTGCATTTTCTTATAGTAGTGGTCCCCCTCGCTGTCCCCCTGCGCCTCCCTCTCCATCGGCTTCCTCCGCAGCGTGGACTCGCGGCTGGTGGTACCCGGCAGCCCCTCGGTGTCCCCCCCCCGGTCGGCCCCGGCGATGGCGGCCAGGCTGCCGTAGCGCGGCTCGTCCTGCTCCATGTCGCTGATGGAGGAGCCCGGTGAGACCCCAGCGCTCTTGGCCGGGTGGAAGCCGCGGAACTCCTTCCCCATCTCACCCAGCTCGTAGGCATCCGGCCCCTCTGCCCCCTTCGGCCCTGATTTCCACTCCCAGGGCCCGTTACCGGCGGAGAGGTGGACGACGGGGTGATGGGGAGCATGGGCGTCGATGGTGATGATGCTGGAGCTGTCCCGCTCCGATGGCGAGCGGTACTGCGAGGAGTCGGAGCTGGTGGAGGACGACGACGTCGTCTCCGAGTGCTTGGCGGTGACGGACACCATGCCCTGCTGCTTGGACATGGCGATGACCTGCATGAGGCGCGGCGGGTTGGCCACCCTCTGCGCACCCCCTTTCTCAGCCACCATCACCCACTTGGCCCTCGCGGCTGCGGTGCCCCCGGTGGGGACCCCGGCGCCTTCCTCGGGGATGTGCACCAGCTGCGAGGCGCTCGCACGGGGCTGGATGAGGACGCGGGGTCCCACGGCCGCCCTCTCAGCCGCGCGTGCCTGCACCGTGGGGTACAGCGATGGGGGCACATCCTCAGCGGCATCCCCAGCACCCCGGCCCTGCGCCGCCTCCTCCGCCAGCGTCATGCTCCGGCCCTCCATTGACTTCTGCTTCCACTCGGTGATGAGCTGCTTGGAGCGGGAGGCATCCACGGGGACGTGGATGGTCATGTGGCGGCGCGCGGGGTCGTCCATGGACGGGGTGTTGACGCGGGGCAGGGTGTTGCTGAAGGTCACCATGTTCTCCTTGCCCATGGGGCTGCGGGGGGCCAGCAGGTCCACGTCCACGCTCGCCCGCTTCAGGCTACCCAGGGAGTTCTTCTCCCTCGGCACCGGCCGCGCCGCCTCCTCCAGCCGCGCCTGCGGGTTCAGTTCGTCGGTGCTCACCGATTTGTTCTGCTGGTACACGGAGTCGTGGCCCCGCTGCGTCAGCGCCCGCAGAGCATCCTTGGCCGGCGCCGGCACCGGGACCCTCTCGGTCGGGGCGCGGAAGTTGCCGACAGCGTGGAACGCCTGCGGGAACGGGAGCGCGGCGTCAGCACCACACCGGTGCCGCGGCCGCACCGAGCATCCTACCCGCACCGCACCCACCAGGTAGGCAGCGATGCCGGAGCCGATGAGGAAGCCCACGTAGACGTCAGCCGGGTGGCTGCGGTATTGGGTGATCTGGGTCAGGCCGCAGATGCCGGCGGCGATGGCGAAGGCAAAGACCAGGATGGGCTTGAGGAGTTTGGTGCTGTCCGAGATGATGGAATTGAAATACATCTGGTGGCGGCAGCGATGGGGCGGGAAGAGGCCGTTATCCGCGGCTCATGGCACCGGTACCCACCGCAGCATCCCCCCTCCGCAGCCACGCACATGGGTGCGCATGGACCCAACCCAACGCACACACCCCATGGGCCAACACAGAGCTCAATAGCCAGGAACTCACCGACACGTAGACGGCAGCGAACGCTGAGAGCGTTGCGTGCTGGGATGGGAAGGTTTTCCTGTGGGAAAGCTGCACTGGTTGGGATGGGGCAGGAGCGTTGGCACCGCGGCACGGATGGACCCCCCCCCGGCACATACCTAGCGGAGAGGATGGCGTGTTTGTCCGTGCCCGAGCAGATGTCCTGCGTGATGTAGGGGTTGGCATCGCAAGGGGTACCCAGCAGCGTGTAGTTGGGCTTGCAGACGGTCAGGAAGAAGGGAGCGTGGTAGCCGGTGGCCAATTGGATGACGTCCGTCACCAGCGCCGTGGCACAGAGCCCGAACACGTGGACGCCTGGGGACGCGGTGGCACATCACGGTGGGTCACCCCCTTCCCCGCTCTGTCCCACACAGGGTGGCCAAGGCTCCTGCACAACGTACCCACAAACCTTACGGTGCGGCGCAGGAAGGAGTTGAAGTTGCAGCCGCCGGCGTTAATGCTGCCCTCGGCACCAGCGCGGCCCTTCAGCCGCGACTGCAGGCAGTACACGATGCCCTCCCCAACCATGATCTGCGGAGGGATGGGCAGCTCAGGGAGCGCTGCCCCATGGGGACCAGGCTCCATCCTCATCCCCCCCCCCCATCCAACCAACCCCGGCACGCACCGATGCGGCCGGCGCGGCGAAGGCCAGGCTGAGCAGCATGAGCAGCGGGATGAGCTCCTCGTTGGTCTCCACATAGGGCATGGAGAGAGCGCGGTCGTAGCACTGGAAGCCCACCTTGGCCGGCTTGAAGAGGTCGGTGAGCTCCAGGAAATAGAGCGTCACGATGGAGGAGGCTACGATGGGCAGCTGGGGTCGGGACGGGGGGGGCAGAGTGTTGGTAACACCACTATGGCACTAATGCCCTGCCACAGGACCATGGGCTGGGATAGGAGCCCCCCAACCCATCCTCACCCACCTCCACGAAGTAGAAGCAGGGCAGGAGCGTCATGCTGTCCTTGGGAGCCCTGGCCTTCTCCTTGGTGGGGATCATGGTCCTGGGGACCGCTCCGCTGTGGGGCTGCAGCCTCACCCCCAGTTCTCAGCCCTATCGGGGGGTTCTGGCTCATCCGGATGCTGCTCACCCGGTACCAAGGGGCTGCACGGGGCAGGGGTATCCCCGCTTCAAACCCCCCCCACATCCACCCTGGGGTCCCCCCGCAGCATCCCCGGGGTTCCGGCTGAGCCGGGGCTGTGACAACAGGTGGAGTGGAGGCTCTGCTGTCGCGACAGGAAACCGCGACCGTGACAGGCAGCGAGGCTGCTGCGAAGGGCGTGGAGAGGGAGGGGGGGCGAGATGCCCATAGAGCAGAGCAGGGGATGGGGGTCCCCGCGCACCCCGCGACCCCCGAAACTGCCCCTGACTGTGAAAGGGGTGGGGAGGGGATAACGGGGATGGAGCAACCTGGGGTAAGAGCGGGGCGGAGCAATATTGGGGGCAATAAGGGGGGGTATTAACGGGAGGTCATTAACGGGGGGGTGTTAACAGGGAGGGTATTGGGGGGGGTAACGGGGGGGTGTTACCGGCATGCCCGGGGGAGGGGGGGTCTCTCTCGGCCGTGCCGCAGCCGCGGGCGGGGGTCGGGCCGGGGGATGAAGGGGGGGGTCGGGAAGCGGCCTCTTTGTCCCCGGCGCCCCCCCCCCTCCCAGCGCCCCCCCACTCACCTGAGCTGCGGCCGGGGGGGGGGTCCGGGCGCTGCGGGGGGCGGCGGCCGCGGGGCTGCGGAGCCGGGATGCTCCTGCCTCGGCGGAGCGCGGGGAGCGGCGGCTTCCTCCGCCCCCTCCTCCTCCTCCTCCTCCTCCTCTTCCCCCCCCCACCGCCCCCCGCCCCGCCCCGCCCCTCCCGGCCCCTCCCGGGGGTCGCGGGTGGGAGCTTGGGGGGGGTCGGGGATGAGACAAAGGAAGGGGAGGGCGGGGCTGGAGGCAGCGAACGGGACCGCCCCCCACCCACCCCCCCTCTCCGCAGCCGGCACCGGGGGGGGGTCCCAGGGGGGATTCGGGGTCCCCCCCCCTCTCTGAGCGCACTCACCCCTGGGATGAGGTGACCCGAAGGGGGGGGGTACCCCCGAAATCACCCTTCCCCCTTCCCTTTCGAGCTGCTCCAGCCCCCAGCGCACAGCAGGGCTCTGCCGGCCTGGTCCTCGGGGGGCGAACCCTGCCCCTGGACCCGGTGATGCCCCCGGGGCAGAGGGGCCGGTGCCGAGGCCAAGCCCCGGTTCCCCCATCCCAAACGTGCGGTGGATCCCGGTCCAACCGATCCCCGGTTGCAACACCCCCCCCCTCCTCAGCTCACGGCCCCATCTGGACCCTGCGCAGCCCCTCACCGCGGCAGCAGGCGCCGCACGATGCCCTTGTTCCATTTTTGGCCCTAAGTGGGCAGAAATCTCCCGTATTTAAGGTCTAAATCCCGAATCCCTCGAAGCCGCGATTAAGCCGCTCTCCCTGCGGGAAAATCCGCGCTTTGAGCCGGACTCTTCCCACCGCGATGCTCGCACCGCACGGACCGCCCCGTCCCGCCATGTGCTGCCCGGCACCGGCAGAGCGGGAGGCCGAAGCCGCCGGTGCGCGGAGCCGTGGCCGGTGCCGGGTGATGGAGCGGGGGCTGCGGGCGGACAAAGGGTGAGCGGTGAAGGCTCCGGGTGCGTGAGGAGGAGGAGGAGGAAGAGGAGGATGACGGGGGTGGGGGGGGTCTCCATCCCTTTGCCCGCTTTCGGAGCACGGCAGAGCCCATGGGCAGGGATGGGGCTGGACGGGCGGTGGGGAACATCCCGGTGAGGGCCGAAGGCAGCGCAACCCCGGCCCCAACCCGCGGCGGAGGGGACCTGAGGCGCGGTGATGGGCTCCGGGAACGAGACCGGGCGGTGGCGACGGGCGGGGAACGGAGCTCGGGGACGCGGAGGGACCGGGCAGGAGCCGAGGCGGTGGCTCCGCTTAGCGGCACCAGGGAGAAAGGCAAGAGGGGATGGGGGCTGCCACCGCCATCACCGCCTCCGCTGCCAGCGCCACCAGTGTGACCAATGCCACCAGTGCCACCAGTGTGACCAATGCCACCAGTGCCACCAGTGTGACCAATGCCACCAATGCCACAAGTGCCACCAGTGCCACCAGTGTGACCAATGCCACCAGTGCCACCAATGCCACCAGTGCCACCAATGCCACCAATGCCACCAGCGCCACCAGTGCCACCAGTGCCACCAATACCACCAGTGCCACCAATACCACCAGTGCCACCAATGCCACCAGTGCCACTAGTGTGACCAGTGTGACCAATGCCACCAATGCCACCAGTGCCACCAGTGTGACCAATGCCACCAGTGCCACCAATGCCACCAGTGCCACCAATGCCACCAGTGCCACCAGTGCCACCAGTGTCACCAGTGCCACCAATGCCACCAATGCCACCAGTGCCACCACCACCCCCCAGCCCCGCAGGAGCTCCTCTCGGGGCAGGGTCTCTCCTCTGAGGACCCCCACCAGGTCCTGCTGGTCCCGACCCCGCTGTCCTCATCCTCCAAGGGCAAACGCACCCATGGCGGGGGAGGGGGGGGATGCTCACCCCTGGGCACCCACCCGGGTGCAGGTCCCTGCTCTGGGGGTGCTTGTGCCGGAACCTCCCCTTGCCAAGAGCCGGGGTTGGGCTCCGGCAGCGGCGCCGCGTTCCCCGGGAGCGGGTGCCAGGGCTGGAGCGGGGCCGGGCGGTTTCCTCCCCCCCTCCCTTTGCTCTCTTTGTGCCGGGAACTCCTGACCCTTTTCATAAGGGGAACATTGAACAACGCTGCGGAAACCCCCCCCCGGCTCCCCCCGCGCTGCCCTTCCTGCCCCCTCCCCCCCCGCAACCCAAACCTCACCATAAAACCCAGCCCCACGCCCGGCAAAGCCGAGCTGCGGCCACCCCACAGCACCCAGCACCCCACAGAACCCCCCCCCTGCGCCCCACGGCAGCCATGGGGCTGAGTCCTGCACCCATCCTGGTCCTCACTCTGCTGCTGGGGGGCACGGTGAATGGTGAGTGCACCCCCCCCCCCCATCCCACTCAGCCCCCCCCAATTCCAGCCTCCATCCGCAGCCTGGACCACATGGGAGGGGGGGTCCGGGGTGACTCTGCCCCATTCCCGTTGGTGATGCCGACCTAACCCGGCCTCTTCTGGTGCCACAGGGCAGCCCCGGGGACGGATCCTGGGGGGCTACGAGGCCAAGCCCCACCTGAGGCCGTACATGGCCTCGCTGCAGCTGGATGGGCAGCACATCTGCGGGGGCTTCCTCATCGCCAAGCAGTGGGTGCTGAGCGCTGCCCACTGCACCGAGGAGACGTGAGTGCCGGGGGGGTGCTATGGGGCGGGGGGGGGATGCTGGATTTGGGGGTCCATTGGAGCAGCAGGGGTGGGCAGGGGCTGCAGCACATCCCACACCCCCCCCATTCCCTTGGCTGGGAATCCCCATTCCCATGCATTGGCTCTCTTCCAGGGATGGCAAAACCTTCCAGGTCCTCCTGGGCGCCCACTCGCTCACGGAGCCGGAGCCCCACAAGCGCCTGTACCGGGTTCGTGCCCAGATCCCCCATCCCGGCAGCAACATCCACAACAACAAGGACGATCTCCTCCTGCTGCAGGTGGGATCCGTTCCACACACCCCCTGCCCCTCGGAACCACAGTGGGGCAGTGCCCGGGGTGGGAGGAAACCCCTCAAGGCCAGGCTGGGGCTGCTGGGTTCCGTGTCCATCCTTCCCCATCCCTGCATCCCCACCAAAGAGCTTTGGGCTGCATCCAAACGTTCTCCCTGCAGTGCTCATGGAGGCAGCTCCACTCCCTGGCTGCATCCCGGGGTGGAAGGTGAAGCCTTGACCATGGCCCAGGATGGTGCCATCCCATTGCCAGGGCTGGGGTCCCCCCCCATTGACCCCGGTCCCCTGTGTTTGCCTTGCGGCAGCTGGAGGAGGAAGCGGAGCTCAACGCACACGTGCAGGTGCTACCGGTGCAACGGGAGGACCGGGACGTGGCACCGGACACCGTGTGCGAGGTGGCGGGATGGGGCACCATCAACCACAGCGGCCGCCGGCCCGATAAGCTCTACCAGCTGGAGCGGCCGGTGCTGAGCCGCGATGTCTGCAACCACCGCACCCGGCACGACCACACCATCACCGAGAAGATGATGTGCACCGACTCCCGCAGGAGGGACACCTGCAAGGTAGCGCCCGCCCCGACCCATGGGCTGGGGGTACCGGTGGTACCCAGGGCTGCATCCCCAGGGTGATGGGGAGCTCCTTACCCTGTGCTGGTCACTGCAAAGCGGCTCTTGGGATGCTGGAGGCAGGGATGAGGCCATGGGTGCAACCCAAGGGTGCTCACTGATGCAGTGCCTCGGGGGAGCCCTAGGGGGGGGGTGATGGGCAGGGGCTGTTGGAGACCCTCCATGGTGCTGATGAGCCCTGGTCCTGCAGGGTGACTCTGGTGGCCCCTTGGTCTGCAATGGGGTGGCCGAGGGGGTGGTCACAGCCGGGTCCCGCGTCTGTGGCAACTACAAGAAGCCGGCGATTTACACCCGCATCGCGCCCTACGCTGCCTGGATCGACGGCATCATCGCGGCTGCGGATGGGGCTGCTCCCTGAGCCTGCACCGGCACCCGGCTCCACGGCACCCAATGGCACCCAACAGCACCCACAGCACCCAACAGCACCCGGTTGCACAAGGGGGGCAGTGCTCCCCTCACCCAGACTGGCTCAAGCCCCAGGCTTTGCTGCATGTGCCCTGCTGCAATAAAGTGATTCCTGCAGAGATGCTGGGGGGGGTCCTGTGTCTGTAATAACCTGGCAGAGACACATGAATTCCCTTTCCAATTGCCCACCCCACAGCAGCTCCCTGTGGGGCTCTGCGCTGTGACCCCAAAGTCACTTGAAAACCCACCCAGAAGGCACCCAAACGTTCAGTACAAAAGGAAGGGACCTTTTATTTACAAAGGAGCTGCTGGTTCAGCCAAAGCCAACCAGGGCTTTGCTCCAGGCAATGGAATG